TGGACTAACTAGAAAATTGCAAGACCAGAAAAAGTGAGTTATTTTTATCTAAATATATTCTACTTTAGTTTATATTTCTTGTGTTTTTTTGTCCCGTTTTTCTGCCATATACGACTATATGATGTTATACTTAAAGTGTTGTCTGGGATTGCAATAGGATGCTATGGCAAACAATTTTAACCCTTTCACCCCTAAGTAACTTTAGTAGACTCTACCATACATTTATCTGGGCGAGTCCATTATGGTCTACAGTGTTGAAAGGGTTAAAGCAAGTCGTATTGTCAAAGTGTAATCCTAAGCGTTTTCTATTTTAAGAATCGATAAAAATCTATCCCGACCCTGTCAGTTTAAATGTTTTTTTTTTTAAACCTTCAAGCTTCAAAGTAATAATCACTCACTGGACAGTAAGACATTCCAAAATACAATTGACAAAACATAACGATCTGTGTGTGTTAACAAATATGTAATTCAAGTTATTTAGAATTGTTTGAACATTGATGCAGTTTCCCCTAAAAATATTTTATTGTCATTATAATTTGAAAAAAATAATGCCCCTGTTTCTTACTTTCAAAACTGATTGATAGTAGCTGTAACGAATAGCAGCGCTGATGTCAAGCATGGAACAAACACCAGATATACCTTATATACATTAGTTTATTACACTATTTATATATATTTATACTTATAACACAACTTTCTCACATCTATTATACACATACACACTCAGACATAAAGATTACAAAAAGTACAAATTATTTTAATCGGAGATACGGGTGCCCTATAGTAATCACTTTGTCTGTCTGTCCGTCAACAAATTTTGTTCCTGGCTGATAACTTTGGTATTTATTGACCGATTTACATGAAACTTGGTCAAGATGTTCAGTTCACAAAAATGCACCTTGAGGTAAAAAGTCAAGGTCAAAGGTTAAGGTCATTAGGTTCAAAGGTCAATGTAAAATTTTGCATCTTTTCACCGATGAACATTTTGTTATGACATGATGAAGCAAAATTGATAAGAATTAAACAATGAGTCAACTGACCTTTGGTCATCCGGTCAGAGGTCAAGGTCGCTTGGTCAAAGGCCCAGTTCAAATTTTGTAGTTTTTTACTAATGAGCATTTTATGACATTATGAAGCAAAGTTGGTCGGAATTAAACAAAGAGACACAGTGAAGTAAAAAGCCCAGGTCAAAGGTCAAGGTCATAAGGTTCAAATGTCAACGCCTACTTTTCCTGTTTTTAACTGATGAACATTTTGTTTTGAAATTAAACAAGAAGTCAACTGACCAAAGGTCAAGGTCATTGTGTCAGAGGTCAAGGTTAAATTTCGTATTTTTTCACTGATGCACATTTTGTTATGACACTTTGAAGCAATGTTGGTCAGAATTAAATAAGGAGTCAACTGACCAAAGATCAAGGTCACTGGTTCAAAGATAAGGGTCAAATTTAGTATATATTCCCTGATGAACATTTTGTGATGACATTATTAAGCAAAGTTGGTCGGAATTATACAAAGAGTCAACTGACTTAAGGTCAAGGTCATTGTGTCAGAGGTCAAGGTCAAATTTCGTATTTTTTCACTGATGCACATTTTGTTATGACACTTTGAAGCAATGTTGGTCAGAATTAAACAAAGAGTCAACTGACCAAAGGTCAGGGTCACTGGGTCGAAGGTCAATGTCAAATTTTGTAGTTTTTCGCTGATGAACATTTTATTATGACACTTTGAAGCAATGTTTGTCAGAATTAAACAAGGAGTCAACTGACCAAAGGTCAAGGTCACTGGGTCAAATATAAGGGTCAAATTTAGTATATTTTCCCTGATGAACATTTTGTGATGACATTATTAAGCAAAGTTGGTCGGAATTATACAAAGAGTTAACTGACTTAAGGTCAAGGTCACTGGGTCAAAGGTCAATGTCAAATTAAGTATCTTTTCACTGGTAGACATTTCATTATGACAATTCGAAGAATGTTGGTTGGAATTAAACAAGGAGTCATTTGACCAAAGGTCAAGGTCACTGGGTCAAAGGTCAAGGTTACATTTTGTATCTATTCACTGATAAACACTTCATGACATTATGAAGCAAATTGGTCGGAATGAAACAAGAAGTCAACTGACCAAAGGTCAAGGTCACATGGTCAATGCCAAGGTCATATATTGTGTCTTTTTACTGATGAACATTTTTTTATGTCATTGTGAAGCAAAGTTGTTCAGAACTTAATACTGAGTTCACTGACCAAAGGGCTAAGGGTCTAACGATCAGGGTCAAGGTCAAGCTTTGTATTTTTCACTAATGAACTTTTTGTTATGATATTATGAAGCAAAGTTAGTCGGAATTAAAGAATAAGTCAACTTACCAAAGATCAGGGTCACTGGGTTAAAGTTCAAGGTCATTTAGGTCCAAAGGTCAAAGGCTCTTGATGGGGGATGTATTTAAGGTGAAATAAAACAAATCAAAGCTAACAACTGAGTATTGCACTGGTATTTACATTTCTGTTAGCCCAGCAAATATGGAGGTGGAAGGAAACAAGACTCACATCTTAGTAACATGTATATTTTGCTTCCTTGCGATTCATTTTGAGGTTCAAATGTCAAAACGTAAAGCTCAGCTATATGGGCAGATTGCTTCTTGATGATTATAGCGGATATATTGCCACAAGACGGGGCCCTTACTGACCTGTCAATGTTCTAGTCGTTCCAATGTAAATAGTTTGTAATCCACAAGCTGGACAACTATCCCAGTCAGTCAATGACGGCAAACATTACCCACAGGTAACACACTTGATACAATTGTTATGTCCTCACAGGATATGGATAAGTATCATGCACACGGGTCAATAACAATTGCACATAAATCGATAAATGTAGTTGCCCACAATTGAACGTCACCGCTGCTCACCCAGGACTACA